AAGCGTGCTGGGATCCCGAGCCGAGGTTTGCAAACTTAGGGAGCGAAGCACGTTTATGGTCTCGGGCTTAGGGGTTTAGGGTTTAGGGGTTTCGGGTTTAGGGTTTGGCGTTTCGGGTTTAGGGTTAGGGTTTAGGGCTTCGGGCATTGGCGTTTGCTAGGGTCTGGGGCGTGTGTAGGGCGAGAAGGGGTTCACAGAGGTGGGTTCCGGGTTTGTTGGGGGCTTCGCTTGTCTTGCAATCCAAGCAGAAGTCTCCAACCCGGACTGTCTCCCCGAAACCCTAAACCCTGAACCCTAACCCTAAACCCCTAACCCCTAAACCCTAAACCGTAAAGCGTAAAGCGTAAACTGCAAACCCAAAACCCGAAACCCTAAACCCTAAACCCTAGCTGAACCCTGAACCCTAACCTAAACCCTAAACCCTAAACCCTAAACCCTAAACCCTAAACCCTAAACCCTAAACCCGAAAAACCCGAAAAACCCGAAAAACCCGAAAAACCCTGAAACCTAAACCCTAAACACTCAAACCCTAAAAGCCCTAAACCCTAAACCCTAAACCCTAAACCCTCAACCGCACCTTCTGGGCGTCCTCCTGCTCTTGGGTCTGTCGCCGGAGCTGCTCCTTTCTCAAAATGGCAGGTGGTCCCCAATTTTGTAGTCCCTGTCGGGCTTCTAGGAGGGTTTAGGGTTTAGGGTTTAGGGTTTAGGGTTTAGGGTTTAGGTTTAGGGTTTAAGGTTTAGGGTTTAGGGGGACCCTTGGGGATATAGACCTTCTCAAGAAGGTGCCTGATCAAGATAGCCAGAAGAGGGTCAAGAAGGGTTCGCTTTTAAGGGTCTCCCTTATCCTACTAGCATGCCGTTTTGGGGTTTCAGGTTTTGGGGCTCAGGGCTTTAAGGGTTAGGGTTTCGGGTCTAGGGTTTTGGCGTTTTCGGGTTTCAGGGTTTGGGGTTCAGCTTTAAGGGATTTTGGGCATAGGACAGCACCAAGAGGAACCCATATACCCTTCCCACGTGCCCCTTTGTATGCTCTATGTAGGCCCTCTTGCTACGCTAGGTTTCGCGTGGAGAAAAGCGGGTATCTTTCTCTGTTTAGAGGTTCATAAGCTCCTAAACCCTAAACCCTCAACCCCAAACCCCAAACCGCAAACCCTAAGCCCTAATCCACCCTAAACCCTAAACCCTAAACCCTAAACCCTAAATCCTAAACCCTAAGCCCGAATAAACCCTAAACCCTAAACCCTAAACCCTAAACCCTAATAAACCCTAAACCCTAAACCCTAATAAACCCTAAACCCTAAACCCTAAACCCTAAACCCTAAACCCTAAACCCTAAACCCTAAACCCTAAACCCCCTAACTCTACGTAAGCACATCTCTTAGCCCCGGCCCCCAGCGTCCTGCAGAGCTCGGATCTGGGCGACTTCATCGAGGACCTGGTTTCAGGGCTTTTGGTGGATGGCATAGGTCAGGTTTAGGTTTTAGGGTTTAGGGCTTAGGGTATAGGGCTTAGGGCTTAGGGTTTAGGGTTTAGGGTTTAGGGCTTAGGGTGTAGGGCTTAGGATGTAGAGGTGGATGGTATAGGTCACCCCAAACTTCCCAAACCCTACAAATCCTGAAAGGTTTAGGGTTTCGGTCCTCCCTTCCCTTACGCCTCCACCCCCCACCCCCCAAAAATCCCTGGGGTCCTCACGATCCGTGGAGCGAGTGGGCTGTGCCAGCCGGCCGTAAATGATGCATGCTTGCCCCTTCGCATGCGAGGCAACCTTCTCCATTTCTGTCAGTGCTCGGTGCTTCACATGTGCCGCGGCCGCTCCAGCCAAATGCTCGATAGTGATCGGTTGGGGTATCACCGACCCAGATTTCGCCGTGCTCGGCCCCGTGAGCTAAAAACCTTCCCTGGGTGGGTCCTAGTAAAGAACTCAGTGAGTGTGTTTAGGATTTAGGCACGAGGAAGCTGAAGGCTCTAAACCCGACTAGGGTTTAGCGTTTAAGGTTAAGGGTTTAGGGTATTGGGTTTAGGGTTAGGCCCCCCCCCCCCCTCCATTCCCCACGCTTCTGAATAGCCCGGCACACTCGATCTGATCCCTAAACCCTAAACCCGAAACCCTAAACCCTAAACCCTAAACCCTAAACAGGGTCCAACATTGGGGTTGAGGGAGTAGGGCTCCTGAAACCTGCGTTTTTGGAGACGTCTTTCGTCTCTCTGACTCCTTAGGCCCAGCTGAGCATTTTTTTTTTTCATTGTGTGGGCTCTTCTCATGGCATTGACATCCTACGCGGGCCTACGCGTGAACTCATGTTTAGTAGCCGCGCGGCCTACGCGCGGAGTATGTTGTTGACGCGTGCCTACGCGGACCTACGCGGCAGGCACTCGAACAAAGCGCAAACGCATTATTTGACTTGCTATATTGTAGCCACTGGCACATTCGGATTGCTCAACCAAACTTTCTGCCCAACCCTGCCCGATTTTCTGCCCAACCCTGCCCGGTTTTTTGCTCAACCCTGCCCGAATTGTGATGTTGACGGATGGGCTACGACGTTGAAAACGACACCTACGACTACGCGCGGGCTACGCGGAGCCTACGCCGCGCCTACGCGGAATTCCTACTTATATGTGCAGTTATACATAGGGATATTTCGATATACATATAAATACATTTTGTCATAAATATAAATATAAACAGAAATATGAGAATATTCTGAATCAATATATATATATATACATATAATGATAAAACCATATAGTTACAGTTATATATATATATATATATCTCAATTAAACCAACAACCTACGCGGACCTACGCGGACCTACTGCGTAGACTTGCCTACGCGGACCCTACGCAGACCTACGCCCTGCAGGCAAAATGCTACGCGGCCGACTTTCAATGTTCGCGTCTCTACGTGGCCTTGCTTGTAGAAAAAAAACGCTGCTCAGCTTGCTTGTGACCCTAAACCCTAAACCCTAAACCCTAAACCCTAAACCCTAAACCCGAAATTAACCGTAAACCCTAACAGGCCGGCTGCAGGTCCCTTGTTTAGTGGAGCTCCAGGAGCTTACAGAGACTTTCTCAGTACTGGTTGAATGAGGGAATTTGGGGTTTAGGGTTTAGGGTTCTGGGCTCAGGTTTCTCTCAATTATGGTCCCTTTTTGGGTACCCTAGATAATGCGTTAATGGGGGCACCCTTATAATAGGGACCCAAAAAAAGACCAAAATTAGAGAAGTAACCTTACGTATACATCCTTTAAGGGTATGTAGGAGGTACCTACTTCCCTCATTCCCTACTAAGCAACAGTAGGATGAGGGTAGCAGGGGATCGTCTTGGCGCACAAGACCTTTGGGCCCAGCTCATCCCAGCAACCAACAGTCCACCTTTTCCTCCTTTGCTTCCTCCACCCTAGACCCAAAACCCAAAACCCAAGACCCAAAACCCTGAACCCTAAACCCTAAACCCTAATCCCTAAACCCTAAACCCTAAACCCTAGCCCTAAACCCTAAACCCTAAACCCCAAACCCTGAACTCTGAACCCTAAACCCTAAACCCCACAACAAAACCCAACCCCCCCCCCCCCCCCCCCCCAAGATCTCGCATGCCACGCATAGAGGCGGCCTCCTGGTACTTGTCGACCTCGGGAGAAGTGATTTTGGTTTAGCGTTTGGGTTTCGGGCTTAGGGTTTAGGATTTTGGTTTAGGGTTTAGGGTTTAGGGTTTAGGGTGTAGGGTCTAGGGTCTAGGGTCTAGGGTGGAGGAGTAGGGAGTGTAGGGCGTTTAGGGTTGAGGGCTTAGGGTGTCTAGAGTGTCTAGGGTTTTGGGTTTTTTTTTTGAGGGGGGGGGGGGGTTATGGGGTGTATGGGGTGTGTAGGGTGCTTAGGGTGCGCAAGGTGCTTAGGGCTTACGGTACTCAGGGGGTTTAGGGTTTAGGGTTTAGGGTTTAGGGTTTATTTAGGGTTTAGGGTTTAGGGTTTAGGGCTTCGGGCTTAGGGTTTAGTCAAGGGACTGAAGGAGAAACCCTTATCAGCGACCTCATTCTCTGGGGATTCTTTAGGGTTTACTCTTGGACTCTTGGAAATATGAAAGTAAGAACCCCCCCCTCCTCCCTTAAAAGGACCCCATGACTTAGGCTGGTTTGGGGAATAGGGTTTCAGCGATTCAGGCCTTCGGCTTTTTGGGTTTAGGGCTTTAGGGGCGACCACCAGACCCCAAGCCCTAACGGTTTAGGGTTTAGGGTTTAGGGTTTAGGGTTTAGGGTTTAGGGTTTAGGGTTTAGGGTTTAAAGGCTAAAAACCCTGAAAACCCTCAACTCTGAGCCCTGAACTTTAAAGCCCTGGGAGCCCCAAACTCTGCACTTTTGACAGCCTGGAAACCCTAAAGGCCAATCCCTAAAACCCTAAACTGTAGACCCCAAACCCTAAACCCCAAACCCCAAACCATAGACCCCAAACCTCAAACCCCAAACCCCAAACCCCAAACCCCAAACCCCAAACCCCAAACCCCAAACCCCACACCCACCCCCTGAACCCCCAATAGACCCAAAGCCCTTGCGTCGAAGGGGCTGCTGCGATGAAGGCAGCACTCCAGGACAGGGCAGCCTGCGCCAGACCATTGGCTTCAAGGGCTTGGAGGGGCTTGTTTAGGGTTTAGGGTTTGGGGTTTAGGGTTTAGGGTTTAGGGTTTAGGGTTTAGGGTTTGGGGTTTAGGGTTTGTGGTTTGGGGTTTGGGGCTTGAAGAGTTTAGGAGGGGGTAAAAGGGGGGTTTAGGGGAGGGCTTTGCAGGGCTTGAAGGCTTCCAAGGGAGTTTTATGGAGGTGTTGAGGGGCTTCGAGGGTCTCAGGTAGTTTCGGACTTGAGGGTTTTAAGGGTGTAGCGTTCGGCTACCAATGTGAGCGCACTGAGCGAACTAAAAGCAACATCTCCTTTGTCAGCAATACACGTGACCAGCAGAAATGAGGCGAGGTACTCAACATTCAGAAAGGGTTAGTAGCAAACGAAGAGTCGCCAACCTCACTTTGCTTCAGAAGTGAGTCGATCCAGGTCGTCGTGGCTGAGGTCGAGTGCGTGATCAAGCATGCGCAGCGTGCGTTCAGGACCCGACCTCCAGATCGCATACATACAGCCGTAGAGCGCCACGACCTTCAGCTGGGCCAGTGTTGGACTGATCCCAGCGGAGACGCAATACTGTCGGAAGAAAGGCTGGAAGATGGTCTCGAAGTACTCTGTGAGTGCGCAGTGGTCCCACAGCGTGGCCATGTCAAACAAGGGGTCCCCGCAAATGCCGTCGGCGAAGTCGATCAGCCCACAGAATTGAACGTGGACCTCGTCCTCCGCGGTCCCTTCGATGTGCACGCGAGCGTTCGCGCCATCAAGATCACTGTGGACAAACACGGGCTGTGTCACGCTGTCGAGATGATCCTGGGCACTGCCAGACAGCTCCCGAAATCGCTTGCGGACTTCTTCGCCCTCGTCGCCCACCAAATCCCGCGTGTTGGACTCAATCTCCTGGTGAACAAAAGCCCACCAAGTCGGGGCGAACGACGATGTCAGAAACGGATCGTCCTTCTCCGTGGTCATGTACCCGAAGCCACTTTCTGCGGGCAGCGCAGCGTGCAGGCGGGACAGCTCATGAGCCATCTCCCGGACCACGTAGTCCCGAGTTGCGTCTTTGAAGATGGCCACCGTGGCGTCCTCGTTGCCTAAGCAACTCTCAACGAGGAATTGCTGCCCAGGGTCTTCATAGATCAGCCGGGGAGCACGCACCCCTCCTTCCTCAAGCCGTCGCAGGACAGCAGCCTGGAAAGCAACCTTGTGCATTTGATGTGGAGGAGTTGGGTTTCGAGGACACCTCCAAATCGCTCGCTCTAACCCATCGTCTGCTTTGGTGGTGTAGCTCACGAGGTAGACCCAATTGTCACAGCCTTTCGAGCAGTCGCGGATGCTCGACACGGTGTCTATGTCTGGGATGGCGAGTTGCAGGTGGGCCTTAATGTCATCCTCGCTGGCCATGTCGCATCTATCGAAACCCTGCTTGGTTTCTTCAACGTGAGTTCCTTTGCGGGTGCCTCTCTACACACTTGTTGGGGTCTAGGTGCCCGAAGTAAACCTAAAAAGAGTTTGTTTGGGGGGGGTTGCGGGAGGCTGCTCTAAAAATCTCAGTTCTGCGGACGAGCACCGCGCGACCTTGAGTGTTGACTTGCCATGTATGAACCCCCTGCAATTCCAAAAAAAAAAAAACGGAACTCTCCCCCCAACAAACGCCGCTCCTTCTCAAAGGGGCCTGCCCTGGTAAACCCAAACCCCTGAACTCCATGCTGGGGAGTCCCTTTCAGACCCCAACTCTCCATAGAATCGGCTGCTTCCCTGACCCATTGAATCAAGGGTTTTGGGTTTGGGGTTTAGGTGTTGGGGTTTGGGGGTCTTTTGTTGGAAGGTTAACATCAGTACATGGTGGTTGCCGCTTGTCTCCATCGGCATGATGATGGACTGCTTGCAGCAGGGAGACAGACCCGTCTTAAGAGGATGAGGATCAGGGCAATCCAAAGGCCGAGAAACCCTGTACTCCCTGACCCGCAAACCAACAAATCGCATGAGTCTTTAGCGAATCCTTACACCTTTAAATTTTTCACCCTAATAAACCCTAGACCCCAAACCCAAAACCCTAGACCCCAAACCTGAAACCCTTAAACCCTTGAACCCTGCAGCCTTACACTGTGGAACTCATCTCCCCACCGCCCTCTACTCCTTGGGCATACCCTTTGAACAAATATCAGGGCTTTAGAAATCCTTCCTTATTTCTCCTTGTTGTAGATTCAGGGGTCCGGGTATCGGGGTATGCTGAATGATTCTCAGACCCCCCCCCCCCCCCCCCCCCCCCCAAAGAAAAAAAAAAAACAACAACTCTCAAGGGAGCCAAGCTTGGACCCCTAAGGATTGTACCCCGAATGGGGTTTCCTCAATATACTCCGGGTCCAAGCTGGACTTAAAACCGCCCAAACCCTAAACCCTAAACCCTAAACCCAAAACCCCAAACCCCGTATATGGCCCGTCTATTTCCTGGCTCTTGAAAATGGGGTGGAGCCCAACGATGCACTAAAAACCGCCTCTAAACCCTAAACCCTAAACCCAAAACCCCAAACCCTAAACCCTAAACCCTAGACCAGAACCCTAAACCCCAAACCCCATGAAACTCTTCACCCGAGGGTCCTTGGACAGGAAGCCCTGATCGTCTGACGACAAGCCCCCCAGCTCCTCCAGCCTGCAAGGTTTAGGGTTTTGGGGGGTTTAGGGGGTTTAGGGTTTAGGGTTTGCAGTTTGGGGTTCAGGGTTTGGGGGGCGATTCAGGGGTTCATGGTTATTGGCTTTCGGGAGATTTTGGGGTCCAGGGTTTAGGGATTTAGGGTTTAGGACTTAGGCTTTAGGGTTTGGGGTGTAGGGTTAAGGCTCACGACGTGACAAAAGTGGAAACCTGAACCTGCGAAGCGCCCAACAGACTACATAAACCCTCAACCACAAATTTTGCACCCTGCGATGAGCCCAAGTGCAAGAGTGGGTTTAGGGTTTAGGGTTTAGGGTTTAGGGTTTAGGGTTTATAAGTTTAGGGTTCAAGGGACATGGGTTGTGTGCGAGGACAGTCCGCCAACCTCAAGAAAAGAGTCACCTATACATCAAACCAAGGGTGCTTATCACAAGAACCTACAAGAGCCACAGATAAGCTAGGAACAAAAAAAGGTTTAGCGTTTAGGGTTACATTGGGTCTCTGCACCTTGACTTCAAGCCCAAAAGAGCTCCGAAGTTTCGGGGTTTAGGGTGTGGGGGTTTGGGGTTTAGGGTGCAGAAGCCCCATAGCCCGAGAGCCCTCTAAGCCCGAAAGCCGACGCCCCGAACTCAAATCGCGAAGCGTATGCACACAAGCCTTAAACCCTAAACCTTAAACCCTAAACCCTAAACCCTACACCCTAAACCCTAAACCCTAAACCCGTGGGGCCTATCGAGACGCTTGCGCATGGCTGCCTTGGTCTGCAAGAATACGCTCGGTTTGGCGGGTTTAGGGTTTATAGGGTTTGCGGTTTAGGGTTTATGGCTTGAAGTTTAGGGTTTAGGGTTTAGGGTTTAGGGCTTGAAGTTTCGGGTGTAGGGCTTGAAGTTTAGAGTTTAGGGTGTGGGGTTTAGGTTTTGGGATTTAAGGCAAAAGCTGGGGCTTAGGCTGCATCATCATCATCCCTTTCAAGCGGCGTCATTGCTGGTGCTGTGGCCACTTTGCTGGCTTTCTTGATTGGTTGGACGTCCTGCGCGACGTCGTCGGAGTCTGAGCTGCTGGAACTGCATGCACGCACACTTGATCCGGACGAAAAACTTTCCGACGGCGCTTCCCCTGCGTCCTTCAACTCTTCCTCGACTTTCTGAATTTTGCCGCGAACTCCCTTGAGGACACGCACCTTCTGTCGCAGCATGTCCCGGATGTCTCCCTTCCGCTTGAGGTATTCTGCTCGTAGCGGGTTAGGGTTTAGGGTTTAGGGATTAAGGTTTAGGGTTTAGGGAAGGTTCCGTCGTTTTGTATGGCCAATGGCCATGAGCTTCGGGGGGCGACGCTGCAGTTGAAGCCGGTTGGATGCAATTCTTTCTGCTTCTAACTTGACGGCTTTAGGTTGCAAGAAGCTAAGGTCCATATTTAGGGCTCCTAATTGGGAAACTCTTCTATACCCCTTGGATACCCTGTGAGGCCACCATATTATGGAGCATGTAACTTCCCTTAGGCTTCGGGAAACAACAAGTGCAAACTATCTAGCACACTGTATGAAGTACAGAATATCAACTTCTCGTACGATGGGAAACACATCCGGCGCGGTCCGATATGCTCAGCCCAAAAACGGCAGGGCCTATCCCAGCCTATAACCCGAAACCCTACACCCTGAACCCTAAACTCTAAAACCCCTAAGCCCTAAACCCTAAGCCAAAACCCTTAACCCTAAACCCTAAACCCTAAATCCTGAACCTCACACACCAGAGATGGCAGTCCACCGACTCGGTTGCCAAGACAAGAGCACTAACCTAAACCCTAAACCCTTAACCCGAAGCATGAGAGCCCCCATAGTTACGTGACGGAGAGAAGGGTTTAGGTTTAGGGTTTGGGGTTTAGGGTGTAGGGTTTAGGGTTTACTGTTTACGGTTTAGGGTTTAGGGGCCCAGATATTAGTAGATGCATCGGGGCCCTCTGAGCTGGGTTGCAAGTATCAGGACTTCGGCTCTAAAGGTCCTATGTTTATGCTTAGTATGGTCCTGTAGGGTTTAGGGTTTAGGGTTTAGGGTTTAGGGTTTAGGGTTTAGGGTTAGGAGCCCCACCTGTGCAGCCACCAAGAGAAGTCAAGAGTTGAGTGTCCGCGGGTCTGGGGCTCTACTTGGAGGTTCATGGGTAGTTGATCAGTAGGGCTATAAGTATCCGAAACAGGGTCATAAGCTTAGTTGCCACACTTAAGCTCCTACTTAGAACTACCCACGAACCTCCAAGTATCGCAACACTCGAACCCTAAACCCTAAACCCTAATCCCTACAAACCCTAAACCCTATAAACCCTAAACCCTAAACCCTTAAACCCCCTAAAGCTGCGTGCCCGGGCTGTCGTGGGCAACATGTCGTCCAGCTCCAGGTCCTTGCGAGGGACGCAACGTACCCGACAAGCCCCCGAAGCCCAAACTCTGAAACCCGCACCCTCAAACGCGCAAAGCAAAAACCCTAGACAGTGTTTCGGGTTTAGGTTTAGGAGCCTAGACACTCCAGAATCCAAAAAGAAAAGCTCAAGCCCCAAGAACCCCCCCCCCCCCCCCCCCGAAAGAAAACAAAACCTTAAACCCCAAAAGCCCGAAAGTGTCGGAGCGCGCGGGGGCTTGGGATTTAGGGTGCTGCTTGAGCGTCATTGCTAAAATCCCTGGGTAGAATTGTGGTTTGGCTTGGAACTCAGGGTTTGGAGCTGAGGTTTATGCTTTCAGGTTCAGGGGGCTTTGGGGGCGTTTACGTTTTCAGTCCCGGAGCGCCTGCACTCGAGGCCCCTAAACTCAGGTTTGTTCTGGTTGAGGGATTAGGGTTGCCCGGGACAGGCTAGCAGCCCCCTGCACTACGCTCCCTCCTCCTCGCATCCACGATATATGGTTAGGGTTTAGGCTTCTGGGGTTAGGGTCCAAACCCTAAAACCCTAAACCCCTAAACCCCTAAACCCTAAACCCCTAAACCCTAACCCCTAAACCCTAAACGCTAAACCTTCGGTTTCGGGTTTAGGGTATCGAAACTCCCAGCAGTCCTGGAGCTGCTGGGCGAAGTCGCCTGAAAAGAGGCTGACGACGCCTTCCCAGGACCTCGGATTTTTCGAGAGCCCTAAACCCTAAACCCTAAACCCTAAACCCTAAACCCCAAACGCTAAACCCTAAACCCTAAACCCTAAACAACCCGGAACCCTAACCCAGAGAGCTTGTGCTGAAAGGAGCCCTCTGCACTAGATGGCTCATCATTACATGAGCTGCAAGGGCTCGGTAACAGGGAGCAGGGTTTAGGGTTTAGGGCTTAGGGCTTTAGGGTCCGGTTTTAGGCTTAAGGTTTTGGGGCCTCATCCCTGAAGCCTCAAACTACTACTACCCTAAGCTACGATTATCTTTAAAAGAGCCTCCCCAAAAATGAAAAAACACATTCCTCTTCTTAGGGTCATATAGGAATGATCATCTTTCATTTTTTGGTGGTAGCCAAGGGTTACCCTAAACTTTAGGGCCCTCAACCCTCAACCCTCAACCCCAAACCCCAAACCAAGCCCCCAAAAAAACCCAGGGAGTCTTCGGGCATTCAAGGCATAATGGGGGGGCAAAGTCCCGAGCCATCTCTTCAGGAGGCACCCTAAACCCTAAACCCTAAACCCTAAACCCTAAACCCTAAACCCCAAACCCTAAACCCTAAACCGCCACCCTGGTGGGCTCCCGACTCCGCCACGCCCAGGGCGTCCAGGAAAGCGAAGAAGACCAGCTGCAGGGTCTCCGAGGGGGGCCCGGCCTTCGCAAGGAAGTTTAGGGTTTAGGGTTTAGGGTTTTGGATTTAGGATTTAGGGTGTAGGGTTTAGGGTAGCTAGACTCCCCTTAGAATTTTAATAGGGATTAGGGCTTTGGGTATGTTCCCCTTATAACAGGGATTTTTCACAGGGTGTGCTATTGGAGCCGAAACACTACAGTCACAGACCAAATCCTAAGCCCCCCGAAGCCCTAAACCCTGAAGCCCCCAAAAACCTAACTCCCTAGGAACCTGAATAAAAAATAGCATCTTGAATACACACTTGGCCTTTAAGTAAAGAAAAACAAGGAATCCTAAGGGGGGGTACATAGGCAAGGAAGTTGAAGGTTGAGGGCTTCAAGGTTTGAAAGAAGGAGGGTCGCAACCTTCGGAGCTTCTGCGCCATATTTCGGCAAGCCCTACACCCTGCACCGTAAAGCCTAAACCCCAAGAGCTGTTCGGGTTCAGGGCTTTTCAAGGCTGGGAGCTCTTTCTAGCAGAGAGCCCGAGGCAAGAGGCCTCCCTGAAGTCGTCGATGATGGCTTGCGGCACGGCCCTGCCGGGGACGTGGAGACTTCGGGCATCTAAGGACCCAAGACTTTTCCCCAAACCCTAAACCCTAAACCCTAAACCCTAAACCCTAAACCCTAAGCCCTAAACCCTATCAGCCCACAAGCCCTGCAACCCGGAACGCGCTCCCAAGCCCTAAGCGCTAAGCTCCACACTGGCGCCCCGAACGCGAAACCGGTTTTGTATCTAGGGCTAGACCCCAAACCCTAGAACTCTAAATCCCTAAAGCCTAAAACCCAAAAGCCCTACTAATTTTGGCTCAAGAACGAACCCCCCCCCCCGCAAAAAAAAAAAAAAAACTGTTCGGTCTTCCGATTACAATTTTCACTGGATTCTACGTTGATTAATTGTTGTTGTGTGTTTTTTTTTTTTTTGGGGGGGGGGGGGCTCTTAAGCAAATACTTACCGTAAACTTTAACTTTAGTACTCGGGCCCTCAACCTATATAAACCCTAAACCCTAAACCCAAAAAGACTCTGAAACCTTGCAGTTTAGGTATTAGGCATCCTCCAGACTGAGGGGAGGGAGACGCGGGAGGGGGGTGGGGGGGAAGGGGGTGGGGGAAGGGGGTGGGGGAAGGGGGTGGGGGAAGGGGGTGGGGGAAGGGGGTGGGGGAAGGGGGTAGGGAGACATTTCATGGCACATACTAGGGCCGTTAGTAGGGGTTTAGGGTTTGGGGTTTAGGGTTCAGAATGGTTTTGTACGCGTACGCATCATCATGATGACAAACACCATCACTAAGACCGCTAAAAGTAATAGTTCACTGAAGTCATAAGCAGAATCATATCGCCTCAAATCCAAGGTTGCCATTCTCAGCTCCTGCTGAACGTCCGCCTCCGCATTGACGCATTGGTTCAGGGAGGGGTTTCGGGACACGTTTGGGTGGTCAAGGTTCCCTGAGCTCTCAACCCAAACCCTAAACAAGAAACACTGGGTTGAGGATTTCGGGGACACCCGGCAAGCCCGGAAAACTTGTCCGACATTCAACAACCCCAAAATCCCAAACAATGTCAGACCACACGAAAAAAAGGCAGGATAAGTGGAGGCGAACCTCACAGTTCAAAGGGAGCCATACTCGGACCCCTAAGGATATACCCCTAAAGGTGCCCCGTAGGGATCAGGGCTTAAGTCTAACCGGCTAGTTCGCTACATCGGGCCTAAGTTAGCAAACTCCCCCAATTCCAAGGCCGTAGACTTGACCTACCATGGGCATGATGAAAACAAGGATAACCCATAGGTGGTTCTGGATTAGAACCCTAAACCCTTTATGCTGTAAGGCTTAAGGAAAACAGTAGGATTTAAGCCTCAAGGCCTATAATATAAGGTTATAAGGTTCTTTGTGTAGATTTGAGTAACCGTTAAACATAAACCCAAAATTCGATAAGGACGCCCTCGCCCGTTTTAGGCGCATGGCACAAAAAGGCAGCTTGGTGGGATTGCGGGGTAGGATGCTTTCCCGAGGGTATCATTTGAAGAATAAAATAGGGGTCGGAATAATTACTTACAGTATTCCCTTAGGGTCCATTGATACATAAATAAATAAACATATATATATATATATACCTATACATACTATAACAACGCCCCAAAACCCTATTCTACTTACTCAGGCCCCTATTCTAAGCCTATGTCGAGGTGCAGGGACTTCAGGAGTATTCCCTGAACGGTATCGTGGGTAGGACGGTTATGAGGCGTGGGGGTGTTACACGCCAAAATGAGCAATGTCCAAACTTTGCGACTTAACTCATTTCGGGCTTGGGGGATCGGGATTGCCACACGAGCCCAAAACCTAAACCTACCTGCTTGAAAGGCAATTGTTCAACGTACGTACAAAAAGGTTATTCGGGGCTTCATGTTCTTACTTGGCTGCACTCAGGAGGGGAGCTATAAATTAAACTTTTAGCTGCCTTATTAAGAAACCCAATAAACCCAAAAAGGGTTTAGGGTTTAGGGTTTAGGGTTTAGGGTTTAGGATCTAAGTTACAGTAAAGTACCACAAAGCTTAAAGGTACGTCGGGCTTTGGCTTGATAGAGTTGAGCGTTTAGGGGGTTTGGGGTTTAGGGTTTAGGGTTTAGGGTTTAGGGTTTATTGAGGTGACCCCCCCCCCCCCCCCTACTTCCCTGGCACAGGGCAGCGGTGGCGCACCATCGTTTCAGACACATCCTGCTCCAACTTCTCCATCTGCGGCGGGGGCGGACCCCAACCCAGACCCCTTTGGAGGATCCAATAATGGAACACGCAACATCGTACCAGAGGGTTTAGGGTTTAGGGTTTAGGGTTTAGGGTTTAGGGTTTAGGGCGTGGGGCTTAGGGGAAGGGTGAAGGGCTGCTAGGCTTCTTGTCGAGGATGTTCATGTTCAAGCCGGGGGATGCTTCGGGTTCAGGGATTCCCTAAACCCTAAACCCTAAACCCTAAACCCTAAACCCTAAACCCTAAACCCTAGATCCTAAACCCCAGTGTCTATACGGCTAAGGAGTTTGAGCTTTAGGCTTGGAGGTGCTCGGGTTCCGTTACGTCTTCAGACCAGGGCATCCGAGCCCGAAGCCCACAGCCGTTTTGCTAGTTCATGGTTTAGGGTTTAGGGTTTAGGACTTAGGGTTTAGGGGGTTAGGGTTTAGGGTCCATGGTTGGGATAGTATGGAAAATTGAACATCCTATTCCTTATTGGGTTTAAGCACCCTTGAAAATGCAAAACGCTAGCCCACTATGACAAAGTTTTTACCTCTGCACATACGTAATGTCTGGTTTATTGTGTATATATGCACATACTTGCAAGTCGAGCCAGACTTTAGCTGTGCATCATATAGATGTCTACAAAACAAACAAGCAACAAGATGATTCAAGCAGCTGTCGAGCCCGGATTTTGTGCCTTGATGTTAGCATCTCTTACGGCAGTTACATGGTCCCTTAGTATGGACCCTTAAAAAGGGGACCCCCTTACATACCCCTTCTTTGCCCTGTACAAAATAAGGGCCCAGACGCCAGAACCCTTTAAAGGAGGTAAGGGACCATACTAAGGGCCCATGAAGCTACCCTTCGAGCATCGGATATGTTCAGGCCCTATACGTGCGACCCGCCGGAACCCCTGACGTGCGAGGAGCGTCTTCCTCAAGCCCGAAATCGAAGACTAGCTGTATGCCTACCTTATTTTGGCATGGGTAAGGAGGAGTTTTCGGTGAAACCTACACCCTAGCCCTAAACCCTGAACCTACACCCTAAACCCTAAACCCTGAACCCTAAACCCCAAACCCCAAACCCTAAACCCTAAACCAGGTTGAAAGTGGCACCAGGAAACCCAAGAGAGCACAAGCATTCCTAGAGGAAAGACCTTAACTCATGGCATGGAAAGCGAGGACGTGTACTCCCGAATCCAGCCTCAAAACCCTAACCCCCCCCGAACCCCAAGCCTTGAACCCTCAACCCTCAACCCCTAATCCCTAAACCCTCCACCCCTAACCCCTAAACCTTTTTTGCCCTAACCCCTACGCCCCAAAACCACCAACCCCTATTCCCGAAACCCACAAACCCCAAACCCTCCACCCGAGCGTAGCGAAGGGTTTAGGGTTTAGGGTTTAGGGTTTAGGGTTTGGGGTTGAGGGTTGAGGGTTGAGGGTTGAGGGTTGAGGGTTGAGGGTTGAGGGTTTAGGGCTCAGGGTCCATCGCACCTCCGCTGTGGTCTGGGCGATGCGCTCGCAAATCTGCACTGCTTCGGCGTCGACCTTTCAGTGGAGGGGGGAAGCTAGAAGAGTCCATGGGTGTTTAGGGTTTGGGGCTAGGGTTTAGGGTTTAGGGTTTAGGGTTTGGGGTTTAGGGTTTAGGGTTTGGGGTTAGGGGTTTGGGTTTGGGGCATGCTTCCAGCTCGCGTCTGCCCCAAAGCCTCTAGTAGGGTAGAGGTTTGAGGGTTTTAAGGGAGGCCTGAAGCGCATCGTGGGTTTGATCTGTCGAAGCTGGCGGGTTTAGGGTTTAGGGCTAGGGTTTAGGGTTTAGGGTTCAGGGTTCAGGGTTTAGGGTTCATGGTTTAGGGTTTTTGGAAGTGGTAAGGAACCTTAGGGAAGCTTAGAGATGCTTCGGGAGTGTGGAGTATGTGGGACCCTTGGGTTGCATAACCTCCTTGAACCCCCTCCCGCAAGGAGAGTCTAAGTATGTTTAGGGTTTAGGGTTGGGGATTTACCTGGTTGCTGCGTACCCTGGGTCTAAAAAGGTTAACCTTTCAATTAAGCCTAGTAGCCTAGTTAAGACCCTAAGTTTAGGTCTGCGGCCTCTTTCACATCCTTGTGCAGGTCCTTCAGGGGGTCGCACAGGCAGTGTCCGGTTTAGGGTTTAGGGTTTAGGGTTTAGGGTTTAGGGCTTGTCCACAGACAGCTTGCCAAGGGTTGCAGGGTGTAGGAGTTTAAGGCGTCAGGTTTCGAAGGTTTAGGGTAAGGCACCCCTTTTTAGGGTTTTCGGGGAGTTTAAGGCTTCAGGTCTCTAAGGTTTTGGCGTTTAGGGTTACCCTTTTTTGAGGGTTTTCGGGCAGTTTAAGGCTCCAGGCTCCTAAGGTTTAGGGTTTTGGGGTTACGCCTTGTTTTTTCTTTATGGGTTTAGGGTTGAAGGTTTAGGGTTTAGGGCTTTAGGGCTGTAGGGCTTCGGGTCTTGGGCTTTAGAGTCTAGCAACGCTCATCGCTTGTTGGATGGCTTCTTGCTCTGCAGCCCATAACCTCTTTTCAACTTCGCCTAAACCCGGCATCCCTATATCCTGAAGCCTAAGGGTCCATGTACCTAATTATTATATTCTTGGGGCCTTAAAGTGCCTCCTATACAGGGACTTTAGGGCCCAAGTATACAATTTAGGTACATGGACCCTTTGGCGAAGCCCCCGCATTTCGGAATGAGGGGTTCAGGATTTCGGGGTCTCGAGTGGTGAGCCTAGGACTTACTATACGAGGGCTTGGTGCTTGAGGGCTTTCAGTTCTCCAACAACCCCCAAATTAGAACCTCGATGCGGTCTTAATAGGGTTTAGGGTTTAGGGTTTAGGGTTTAGGGTTTTACAGTAAACCCTAAAACCTGAACCCTAAACGCCCTGGAGACCAAAATCCGAAAGCTCAACATTCTCCCAACATAGAACTACATCCCAACCTCCACGATACGAACCAACCCCTACACGCAACACCCTCATCTAGTATGGCACTTAAATCCCTCTGAAAAACATTCCTGAATATGATCCTCTTAAACCCAACAAGGAAAATGTCAAGTATCCCAATAGCCTACCTGGTACGTCTTGCGACACGAGCGAATAGTTAAGTGGCACGCGGCCCATGCCATCGTGCTTGTCAACCAACTTCGAGCCCAGATAAGCCTACTAAACACTTTAGGTTTAAGGTTTCGGGTTTAGGGTTCAGGGGGGTCAAGTTGGTTGGGCAGCCTGAGATTATCCTAAACCTACTAAACCATGTAAGTCCTTGGCCCTACAGCAGACGCCTTGAACCGTAAAGCCTAAACCCTAAACCCTAAACCCTAAACCCTAAACCCTAAACCCTAAACTCCCACATAAAGCCGAAGCCCACCCTAGACCCTAAACCCTAAACCCCTAAAACACCCCTCAACAAATCACCAAAAGGGCCCACCATGAGAAGGTGCGGCTGAACCCGAAAGCAAAGCTAAGACTGAAACAAAGAGGCATGAAAGGCAGTCTGGTTTCGAGGGCTTGGGGTTTCAGGGCTTAGGGCTTCAGGGAGGCTTAGAGCTGATGAACCCTAAACCCTGAACGCTAAACCCTAAACCCTGAAACCCTAACCCCCGAACCCCCCCCGTCCCCGCTCGCCTCAAACCCTGAACCCTGAACCCTAACCTCTCCAAACAAAGAAAACGATCCTCGAGCGCCGCTGTGAGCCGGGACGCTTCCTGCTCGGATTCTTTGGCCTGGAACACATGGGCGTAGGGTTTGGGGTTTGGGGTTTGGGGTTTGGGGTTTAGGGTTTGGGGTTTAGGGTTTAGGGTTTAGGGTCTACGGTTCAGGGGCCTCCGGCCGAGGACCCGAAGCGCACCCTCTGTAGCTACGAGTATTGGGTTGAGGGTTTAGGGTTTAGGGCACCTTATTTGGGTTGTTCGAGGTGGCTTGAGAGGGCAAATGGACAGGGATTTTAAGGGAACCTAAGCCATAAAACAAGGGCAAAACGGCCTACTCTGGGTCCTAGATATAGATCTCTCCCAAAACATCTAGGAGTCGCAGGCCGACGAATAGGTTTTCGAGTTTCGGTTTTACGGTTTAGGGTTTAGTGTAGAGTTCAGGGTTTAGGGTTTAGGGTTTAGGGTTTAGAGCTACCACCCCTGGCAAAAGCCCAGCAGCGGGCCAGCAGCCTTGTCCAGCTCGCCGCTGAATTCGCTGCGGAACTGCTGCTCGCACTGGGCCATGTGCGCCTCGACCCTATACCCTAAACCCTCAACCCTAAAACCCTAAAACCCTAAAACCCTAAAACCCTACAACCCTAAAACACTAAAACCCTAAAACCCTAAAACCCTCAAACCCTCAAACCCTCAAACCCTAAAACCCTAAAACCCTAAAACCCTAAAACCCTAAAACCCTAAAACCCTAAAACCCTAAGACCCTAAAACCCTAAAACCCTAAACCCTAAACCCTATCAACCCTAAACCCTAAAACCCTAAACGATCGAGCCGGCCAAAAATCCAATACACGTTAGTAGGACAATGCCGGGTGGGCAATCGCTTCTTATGTGAGCCTCTTATCCCCCCCAAAAAGAGCCCAATACCCCCCTCAGACCCTGAACCCTAAACCCTAAACCCTAAACCCTTTATGGAACACCACTAAGCCCTGCAGTGCAAACCCTGAACCCGAGGCTTCGGGGTTCTGGGCTTCAGGGCCCACGGCTAACTCCTAAGCCCCATAACGTATGAGGATTTTGGGTTTAGGGTTTAGGGTTTAGGGTACCTTCTTGGGGTCCTTATTATAAGGGTCTCCCACGGGCCCATATTTCCGTAAACCCCCATATACCCTTAGAGCATAATAAAAGGATCCCTACAAGACCTTAAGGTCTCATTCCTTAATTCGGGGCCATTGGGCTCTTTGAGCATACGCAGTATAGCAGGGAAACTACAAGCCTCTTAGAAGGTATAACGGAATGTACCCACCTGAACCTGTCCTAGAAGTCTTGGGGTAGTTACATGGTCCCTTCGTATGACCCCTTAAAAGGGGCCTCTTACGTACACCTTATATACCCTATAAAACCCAAGACCCATACTTCGGAAGCTTTTAAGGGAGGTAAGGGACCGCATTAAGGGCCCATGTACCTACCTTTAGACGTGGAGCAAGCCCGAAGGGGCTGTCCCTACTGGCCTCCAGTCCCTAAACCCTATAAGCCCTATAAACCCAACCCTCTAGATTGCGGAGCAGGCAAAACCTGAGGTTTAGGGCTGTGTAGGATGTTTAGGTTTTAAAGGGCTCTAGGGTTAAGGGGCTTAAGGCTGTTTAGGGTTAGGGCTTGAGGGGTTTGGGTTTAATATTTTGGCTTGCCGCGCGCTTCCGACTGTCCTGGAAAACGAGCACGTGGCGCAATAGACAAAACCATCACCGATAGTTGCATATACCATTTTCCAAGAGTTGCTACAGCCAGAGCCCAGCAAGCCTGAGACCCTGAAGACCTACTTCATAAACCTTAAGCCCTAAATCCTAAGATCGAAACACGAGAAAACTCGTAACCCTAGAAACCTTCCTAAGAGCCCAAACCCCAACAGCCCTCCCTAATCCAACAGCTCCGCCCTAAACCCTAAACCCTAAACCCTAAACCCTAAACCCTAAACCCTAAACCCTAAACCCTAAACCCTAAACCCTAAACCCTAAACCCTAAACCCTAAAGCTACAAACCCCCCAAACCCTCGAAGGGATGCTCCGCATGGGGCGCAGGCCAGCGTAGCCGAAGCGAGGTCCAGTGCCACGCTTTCCTTCTGCAGCGCGGCCTCTTGTCAATGTGGGGGTTTAGGGTTTAGGGTTTAGGGTTTAGGGTTACGGAAATTAGGGACAACGAATACAACTAATATAGAGTTCAGGGTTCAGGGTTCAGGGTTTGGGGTTTAAGGACCAATGTGGGGGCTTGCGACAGTAAGGGACCCCTAAAATAGTCCCCAGGGTTCGGGTTTAGGGCTTAGGGCTTCGGGCTTAGGGGTTAGGGGTTAGGGCTTAGGGCTTCGGGCTTAGGGTTTAGGGTTTATTTAGGGTTTAGGGTTTAGGGATCCTACAAATAGACCCCCCCCCAATAGTAGGATTCACTTATAACAAGGACCCCAACAAGGTACCCCCTAATTTCGGAAACCCCCATGTGGATCGAGGAACTCCGGGAATCTTCAAAGGAACTTAAGGGTCCCTAGGCTCTAACTAAGCACCCTAAACCCTAAACCCTAAACCCTAAACCCTAAACCCTAAACCCTAAACCCTTGACGTCTACGGATTCTAGGGCTTCAGGTTTTAGGGGTCTTCGCGATGCACCGGGGTCTTGAAGACTTCGAAAAGCAGAGGGAGAGGAATTTAGGACGTGGGCCCCGATTTACATGGGAACAACAGAATGGGGTTTAGGGCTTAGGGTTCAGGGCTTAGGGCTTAGGGATAGACACTGGGTTGAGGCTTCAGGTAGATACGTCCAACTCTCGTTTTCCAAACACCTTGCAACGAGAGACATCAGGGACGCGATCGTTCCGTACCAAGGCGGAGATGTCATCTTCGATGGCTTGTCGTTTCGTGTCTGTGTCCCAGCCTCCGACAACGATGTGGCTGAAGTCAACCTCATCCCTGAGAATGGCAGGGGGCGGTATGGTCATACAGTAGACCGGGGAGACATGGAGGGGCAATCAGCCCCCCGGTAGGCCCTCTGCCACGGTCTTCTGCAGCTCGGCCACTTGCTCTTCGAGCCCTCGGTAGGCCCTCTGCCACGGTCTTTTGCAGCTCGGCCACTTGTAGGTCCTCTGCCACGGTCTTTTGCAGCTCGGCCACTTGTAGGTCCTCTGCCACGGTCTTTTGCAGCTCGGCCGCTTGCTCTTCGAGACGCTGCAGCCTCCCTAAACCCTAAACCCTAAACCCTAAATCCTAAACCCTAAACTCTGCACGGGTGTCAAGCTGACCCCCTGTCTCTACGAGTCCCTCAACGCTGTGTGCATAGCGCCCCAAAAGGCTGGGGTTAAGGGTTAAGGGTTAAGGTCGAAGGGTTAAGGGTTTAGGGTTTAGGGTTCAGGGTTTAGGGTGGATTCTACAAACAATGATTGCCAGAGTCGTCCTCATGGGGGTCCCTTATACCCCAATAGTAGGATCACTTATGTTCATGTGGTTTTTTGGGCCCCTAAATACAACCAACACCCCGATCGGCCTCCTTTGCTTGGATCAGGTGTTTCAGCTTCGTGACCTCGGGGTTTAGGGTTTAGGGCTTAGGGCTTAGGGTGCAGGGTTTAGGCCTTAAGGGCCTTAGGCTTTGAGGGCATAAGGCTCGGGGCTTAGGGTGTAGGGCTTAGGGCTTAGGGTTCGGGGTTTGAAGTTTAGGGTTTAGGGTTTAGGGTTTAGGGTTTAGGGTTTAGGGTTTAGGGTTTAGGGGACTTCTACTAGGGGTGAAGCGAGGGCGATCTCGAGAGGTCCTTAGAAGATAATGCTCTTAAAGCCTGAAACGGGGCCCCGGAGCCCATGAGACTTTTGGTGGCTTTTAGGGTTTAGGGTTTAGGGTTTAGGGTTTAGGGTTTAGGGTTTAGGTTTAGGCTCTCATAGACTTATAGATCGTTTAGGGTTCGGGTTTAGCTGCAGGCTGTGAGGAATCATTCCAACCCCAAGCCCCAGGGTGGGGGGGGGCGAGGTGGCTTTCTGAATATCCCGAAACACTAGGCCCTAAACCCTCAACCCTGAATCTAATGGGAGTTCCCGGTTTCTGAAGAAACGCGGTCTTGCGATGAAACGCGCAGATGGATGAAACGTGCGCGCGGCACAGTTACACTTCTTTCTAGCTAACGTGGTTGCCGTCGTTCAGAAGAAACGCGCTCGTGTGACGAAACGCGCAGATGGATGAAAAGTACTGTTAGGCTACACCCTCAACCCTAAACCCTAGGCCCTCAACCCTAGACCCACTGAGGATCCCTTTAAACCCTAAACCTTAAACCACAAAACCTGAAATTCCTAAAATCTGGTAAGCTCATACGGAAGGACCCCTTAGAAGCGACTCGGAGTCTTCTGCCTCTATAGCAGCCCCGGAACATACCTTCTGCAGTCCCTGTATACCCTAAACAGCCCCTGCATACACCCCCAATGTGCCCTGTATACCCGAAATCTGCATACACCCCCAATGTCCCTTACCCCCCCAACCCTGCCCGTCAACCCTCAAAACACCACGGACCACGGGGGGTGGAGAGAGAAACCCTCAACCTAAACCCCAAACCCTGACCCCTAAGCTCTAAAACCTAAACCCACCAATGAACCACAGGGGGGGAAGGGTAAACCCGAAACCTTGACCGCCTTATCCCTGAACCGGAAATCCAGCACGAACCACAGGTGGGAGAGGCGTTAGTAAACCTGCCATTACCCCAAACCTTGAACCCTAAACCCACCGCGAACCAATGGACCAAAGGGGTCAGAGTGAAAATCCTGAACTCTACACCCTAACCCTAAACCCATCCCAGGCCATGAGCCACGCACCACGGGGGGGGGGGGGGGGGGGGGGGGGGGGGGGGGGGGGGGGGGGGTGCGCCTATGCTGGCCCATACGAAGGGTCTCTCTCTTGGGATGTTCGCCCTTAAACTAACATATTAAGGGACTCTAATAGGGGAGTACTACAATCCCGACTATGGACTCTTCGCATAAGGGCATCCCCCTTTTGGTTTAAGAGGGGCTTAGAACTTAGAGCGGAACCTAAAACCTAAAAGAAGGGAACAAGGCACTACTCTGGGTGAACCCTAAACCCTAAACCCTAAACCCTAAGCCTAAACCCTAAACCCTAAACCCTAAACCCTAAACCCTAAACCCTAAACCCTAAACCCTAAACCCTACCTTAAGCCTTCCAGCTCAGGGATCAGAAGCAACTTCAGCGCCGCACGGCGGCGATGAACAGCGCCGGACCTGCAAGCAGGGTTTAGGGTGGGTAGGGTTTAGGATTTAGGATTTAGGATTTAGGGTTTAGGGTTTAGGGTTTAGGGTTTAGGGTTTAGGGTTTAGGGTTTAGGGTTTAGGGTTTGGGGTTTAGGGTTTAGGGTTTCGGGTTAGGGTTTAGGGTTTAGGGTTTAGGATTTCGGGTTTAGGGTTTCGGGTGGGTGGAGATTCCTTACAGGAGCTGTCGAGTCGGGCTTGGGCTTGGGAGCTTTGGAGGGGGCGATGCATTCTGGTGGCCCTTCTCGCGAACCTCAAATGCCCAGACTGCTGGGAGGTTCCAAAAAGAAGAACCCCCCCAAAGAGGTTTAGGGAGTTTGAGTTTAGGGTTTAGAGTTTCCGGCTTAGACTAAACCCTATAATTACTACCCCTAAACCCTAAACCCTAAACCCTAAACCCTTATAAACCCTAAACCCCAAACCTTGCTAGGTCAGGTTTAGGAACCCTTGAGGGGATCTACTTTTTGGATCTGCCCCGAAATCTGGGCTGCTGAATGCATACGAATTGTTGGGGGCCATGTTTACATCAAAGCGCATGTCAGCCAACTCCGTTGGACTGCAAGAGCAGCAACAGAGACCCTCAACCCTAAACCCTAAACCCTAAACCCTAAACCCTAAACCCTAAACCCTAAACCCTACACCCTAAACCTAGCTCCCGAACATGTAAGCCTTTTGAGTTCCCGCCGCAGCGCCTGGCACATGAGAGCGCTGAAGCGCTCCTGTGCTTCAGCCGCAGGCTTGTGGTTCAGGCTGCAGATTCTGGGTTCAGGGTTTGGGTTTTAGGGCCCCTTGAACCCTAAACGCTGAACCCTAAACCTTAAACCCTAAACCCTAAACCCCTAAACCCGAAAGACCGTAAACCGCAAAAAGGAGGCGTCTCGAGGCTTTGGGACTTCGCGGCTTCGATGACTAAGGCGACTGTGCCATCCCCCCCCCCCCCCCCTCTGCCCCCTTTCCAGATCGAAACACCCAATTCTACTCTTGATCAAGGGAGTCAAGCTTGGGCCCCTAAGGATGTAACCTTGGGCGGTTCCCTGCATCTACTCCGATTATGGCCCTTATATTCCCGTAGAGGATCTTTAAAGGAGCGCTCCCCAACACAAGGGTAGAAACTTTACGGGTTCAAGATGGAGTCCCATGCCTTGAACCGAATCACTGGCGTTCCTACACATGTTGGGCGCCAACCTCAAACTCCCTAGCCCCTAAACCCTCAAGCCTGAAATCCCAAAACCCAAAATCTCTTTTGCCCGCAAAAGAAGCCCGCAGACCTTTCTCCGTCTGAGATGGGGGCACGAAAATAGGGGACCCCCAATATAGATCCCCAAATAGTAGGACGCCCTTGTAAAAAGGACCCCAACGTAAGGTACCCCTATTTTCGGAAACCACCCTAAACCCTAAGCCCTAAACCCTAAACCCTAGTGGGGGGGGGGGGGGAAATAACTTCATGTTCCTTTGCTACCCCTAAGCCCTCAACCCCAGCCCTCTTGGGCTTCCCTACTTCCACAATGTGCGGATTAGGGCTTCGGGTTGTTAAGGTTTGGGGTTTGGGGTTTAGGGTTTAGGGTTTAGGGTTTAGGGTTTAGGGTTTAGGGTTTAGGGTTTAGGGTTTAGGGTTTAGGGTTTAGGGTTTGGGGTTTGGGGTTTGGGGTTTGGGGTTTGGGGTTTGGGGTTTAGAGTTTAGGGTTTAGGGTGCAGGGTTTAGGGTTGACCGACAGCTTTATTTACAGTGTCCAACCCCCCCCCCCCCCAACCCGCCCAGGGGAACACGCTAAGCCCTATAAACCCTAAACCCTTGAGTTACGAGTAAGCTTGGGTTGAGAGCTCACGCCTTCAGGCTTAATGTGCCCTCTGCAAGGTTGAGTAGGGTTGAGTGTTTAGTTTTGCCCGGAGGACGGCCGCCGAAGCCATGAGTAGATTCGGTAGCCGTCCAAAAACCCTACGACACTAAGCCCTAAACCTGCCCAAGACAAACCATAAGCCAGGTTGCCTCTTAGTAAGGACTCCCTTCTGAAGCGACTCTTTTCCCAATGGTCTTTGACAGGGCCTTCACGACAGACCCCCAAGACCCCAAAACCCTCAAGCCCTGAACCCTAAACCCTCAAACCCTAAACCCCTAAACCCCTAAACCCTAAACCCTAAACCCTAAACCCTAAACCCTAAACCCTAAACCCTAAACCCCAAAACCCCAAAACCCCTCAAGCGCCGAAACATCCGAAACCTTACGAACTGCACCGGCCTGGAAGCTCCAGGGCTCCAGGCATCCGCGCCGCCTCAAGTTTGACTTGTTGTTTTAGGGCTTGTAAACGGTTTAGGGTTTAGGGTTTAGGGTTGGGGTTTCGGATTCAGGGGTTTAGGGGTTTAGGGTTTTTAGAGGTTTAGGGCTTAGTTTAGGGGTTTACGGGGTAAGGGCTTGGGGTTTAGGCTTGATGGGTTTGCGGTTTAGGGTTTCAACGCCTCAAACCCATGATCCCTGTAAAACAAACCCGCCTTTAGAGTTGAAGGTCTAGGGATTCGGGTTTCGGGTTCTAGGGTTTAGGGTTCAAGGGTTTAGAGTTTAGCGTTTAGCATTTAGGGCTCTGGCGTTAGGATCTGTGGGCGCCACATTACCGGCTCGGGCATAAATCACGAAACAAAGCGGCAAGGGATTTAGAAGGAAACCACATATCTGGAACGCTTGCCAGTGGTCGAGTTGCATGGCCCCGACGTCATACCAGCGGAATCTCTCCCCAGCTTTTTCAGCGGTGCTGCGGAGGGAGAAGTGATCTGTGGCTCCCAGTTGGTAGCAGCGTGAGATGCGACCCGCAGCCGAGGTCTGGGTGTTCGGGGTTGATCGGTGCCCGGGGCCCTTCCCGTGATGATCGCTGTGCTGCGCCGTTTCCTTCTTGAAACGGCACCCTTTCAGGACCGCAGGGCAACCCTAAACCCTAAACCCTAAACCCTAAAAGGGCCGTGAGCATCTGACAGGGGGAAGTGGTGAGCCTTGCGCTATGTAGGGGGGGGAGCGGGGTGTAGGGTTTCAGGGTTTGCGGGTTGCACTTAGGACTTAGGCGTTCTTACCCGGATGGAAAACTCCAATAGAGACCTTCGCGAACACAAAGGCCCGTAGGAACGATCAACCCACACGCCGAGCTCAAACTTCTCCTGGGTTCCCCTACTACCCCCCCTCTATGCTTCCCCCCCCATTTCATGACCCCTCAATAGCCTGAATTATGGGGGCAATCTACGGGGGGGGTGAGGTTCTTAGTCTAAGAACCAGTAGGGAATCAAGACAATTAGGTACCTTCCAGAATCCTTGAATAGACGAATAAGCACCAGGGTCTTCGCTCTAGAACCTAAACACCCTCCGTCATCAGCCCAAAAAGCCCTAGATACCATAAAAACCCTACAAACCCTACAAACCCTCTAAACCCCAAATTCAGGGCTTAGGGCCGTTAGGGTTTAGGGATCCCCTGGTTCTTAATAGGGAATGAGGGAATTCGGGCCCTACATATACCCTTTAAGGGAGTATATAGGGTACCTCATCCCCTTATTCCCTACTAAGAACCAGGCAGGACGGTTTAGGGTTTAGGGTTTAGGGTTTAGGGTTTAGGGTTTAGGGTTTAGGGTTTAGGGGTTTAGGGTTTAGGGTTTAGGGTTTAGGGTTTAGGGTTTAGGGTTTAGGGTTTAGGAGTCTTCGCCCAGATCTGGACATGCAAAGGGCGCGGCCACTTCGGCCGTAGAGCGTAAGGCTTCGATCTCCTGGTGTTTATGGTTTAGGGTTTATAGGGTTTGGGGTTTGGGGTTTAGGGTTTGGGGTTTGGAGTTTAGGGTTTCGGGTTCAAAGCCCTAAGCCCTAGCCAAACCTTACACCCTAAACCCTACGGATTGAAATCCTGATTTTTGGCTTCTCAGCAATGTCATGGTCACCCTAAATCCTACACCCCAAACCGCAAACCCTAAACCCTAAACCCTAAACCCTAAACCCTAAACCCTAAACCCTAAACCCTAAACCCTAAACCCTAAACCCTAGCCATAAACCCTAAACCCTAAACCCTAAACTCTAAAATCTTAACCCTAAACCCTAAACTTCAGCCCTAAACCCTAAGGCAACTTCCCACCAAAACGGTCTGCGGAGCTCCTCTGGGTTGGTGTGGAAGATCTCTTCGGCGCCCTCGCCTACAAGGATTAGGGTTTAGGGTTGAGGGTTTAGGGTGTAGGGTTTAGGGTTTAGGGTTTAGGGTTTAGGGTTTAGGCTTAGGGTTGAGGGTTTAGGGTGTAGGGTTTAGGGTTTAAGGTTTAGGGTGTAGGGTTTAGGGTTTAGGGATTAGGGTTTAGGGTTTACCCTCAAAAAAATGAAAAATAGTTTCTTCCTTAGAAGGGAAATATAGGGATTATTGAAACATTTTGTTTTGTTTTTTGGAGGGGGGGAAAGCCTAGAGCCCTTAATTCTTTTCAGGGGCTCCTACCACCTACCTCCCAGGCCGCAAGCCATTTTCTTTGCAGTCTTTTTGGGATTTAGGGTTAAGGGTTTAGGGCTTTTGGCCCTAAACCAAGAAAGGAATAGGTTTGCCCCTTGCCGGCGTGGGGTGGGAGAAAGCATGTTGGATGGCCCTCCACAGTGGGGTCACAACTGCCTTCGCATGTTACGAGGCTTTCCGAGGCTACTCCTAAACCCTAAACCCTAAACCCTAAACCCTAAACCCTAAAAATCCTAAACCCCCAACCTTCACAACCTCTGCCATGTCACAGCAAATTCTGAACCCTAACCCCTAAACCCTCCCTACACCCCTAAACTCCTAAACCCGGACTTAGGTTAGAGTTTAGGGTTTAGGGTTTAGGGTTTAGGGTTTAGGGTTTAGGGTTTAGGGTTTAGGGTTTAGGGTTTAGGGTTTAGGGTTTAGGGTTTAGGGATGGTCTATACGGTTTAGGGCTAGCTTTAGTATGTCATTGTCGGGGACATGGAAACTTCAGGGTTGAAGCCCTAGATCCTAAACTCTGAAAGGCCGTACGACATGAACGGTAAAACCCTAAACCCTAAACCCTAAACCCTAAACCCTAAACCCTAAACCCTAAACCCTAAAGCAAATCCCGAACTCAGACTCCAAGCCCGAACGTCAAACAACCCCCAAGCCTCGACGTCCGCAAGCCCCCGAAGCCCAAACACCTATAACCCTAAACCCTAAACCCTAAAGAGCCCTTCCTAGCGGTTTAGGGATTATAGGGTTTCTAGGGTGTAAAAGGTTTAGGGGTTAGGGTTTATAGGGTTTGTGGGTTTGTAAGGTTTATAGGGTGTATGGTGTTTATATAGGGTTTATATGGTTGATAGGGTTATGGGGCGTTGTAGGGTTTAAAGGGTTTACAGGGGTTTGTAGGGTTTGGTGGCTTTGTAGGGTTTATTTGGTTTGTAGGGTTTCTAGTGTTTGTAGGGTTTATAGGGTTGATGGGGTTTATAGGGCTCTAGGGTTTCTAGGATTTATGCGGTTCATGGGGCTTGTAGGGTTTATTGGCCTTAGAGGGGTTTCTAGGGTCTATAGGGTCTACCCTAAACCCTGAAACCTAAACCCTAAACCCTAAACCCTAAACCCTAAACCCTAAACCCTTTAGGGTTCATAGGGTTTCCCCCCGCAAGTGTTCCTTGGAGCGCTTCAGGCAGGAGGAGCTGCGCCGCCACCTCCCACAAGCCATGTGTGTAAGAGGCTGATGGCAACTGACAAAAACACAGTTTAGGGTTTAGGGTTTAGGGTTCAGGGTTTAGGGTTTAGGGTTTAGGGTTTAGGGTTTAGGGTTTAGGGTTGGGGGTTTAGGGTTTAGGGTTTAGGGTTTAGGGTTTAGGGTTTAGGGTGTAGGGTGTAGGGTGTAGGGTTTAGGGTTTAGGGTTTAGGGTTTAGGGTTTAGGGCTTAGGGTTTAGGGTTTGGGGTTTGGGGTTTGGGGTTTGGGGTTTGGGGTTTGGGGTTTGGGGTTTGGGGTTTAGGGCTTACAGTCTAATGTTGGTCTTTTTTGGGTTTAAGGTTCGGGGTTTGGGGCTTGCAGTCTAATTTGGGTCTTTAGCGCAGGTTTAGAGGGTTTAGGTCAAGATAGGCAAGCAGTGCATCCTTCTTGAAAGTTGAGTGCACATACACGCGCAATGGGCAATGCTGGACCCGGTTTAGTTTCAGGGCCGCTATTGGACTCCCCCCTAAACCCTAAACCCTAAACCCTAAACCCTAAACCCTAAACCCTAAACCCCAAATCCTAATCCCTAAACCCTAAACCTCCCCCATTGATGAGGGTGGTCCGCAATTATGCGAAGTGCAGGCCGGGGATGAAGGGCGGGGCAGGCCGGGGAGCCAAAAACCAAAAATCGTTTTGAATAAGAAACTCCGGAATTTTATGGTGTCCGGCTTTGTTTAAATCCCTTTCAAAATTTCAATACGAAACAGGACCCCAAAACAATCTCCAAAACCCGTACTAGGGTTCCCTAAAACCTCAGACCCTTAAACCCTAAACCCTCAGCAAACCGCCTCGAGGTAAGCTTCACGACCCCAGGGCTTCAGCCATACCACATCCATGACCGAGCCGATGCCCGAGTACCTCGCCGGTTTAGGGTTTAGGGTTTAGGGTTTAGGGTTTAGGGTTTAGGGTTTAGGGTTTAGGGTTTAGGGTTTAGGGTTAGGGTTTAGGGTTAGGGTTTAGGGTCTAGAAGCTCGGGCTGAAGCTCCGAGTTAAAGACCTTAAAAAAACATAAACTTATGGGGGTTTAAAGGCCTAGGGTTCAGCGGCTTGGGGGCTACCCTAAACCCTGAACCCTGAACTCTAAACCCTTAAAGGCTTGAAAGTTCTAACAGCTCCTACACCCTAAGCTGTGAAACTCTCGTGCCTTGCCAAAGAAAGCCTTCCTCCGTGACAGGGTAGGGAAGCTAAGAACCACCCTCACGCCCTAAACCCTAAACTCTACCCTAAACCCTAAACCCTAAACCCTAAGCCCTCTAAACCCTGAGCCCTAAACCCTCAGCCCTAAGCCTTAAGCCCTAAAAGCTCCAAACATCCTTCACTCTAAGGGAACCTACATGGACCCGTAGTAGGGTCCCTTAATTACGCCTCTTTAAAGGGTTCTGAGGTCTGGGCCCAATTGGGCTTTGTAGGGTTTAGGGTTTAGGGTTTAGGGTTCAGGGTTCAGGGTTCAGGGTTTAGGGTTTAGGGTTTAGGGTTTTAGGGTTTTGGGTTTTGGGTTATAAAAGGGGTCCACAGTTAAGGGGCCGTACTTAGGGGCCGTATAACTACACTTAGTTTCGAAGGGTTGTT